TATCACGCTGTTTACTTTGTTTGCATTGACATTTGCAAGTCCAATATGTTTGTTGCATTTTCAAGCTTACTTTTGAGTGCTTTTGACTATCTCAATAAACAGCTTTGAATACCTTTAAAAAACACTACAGCCACCCAGACCTCTGCATCTCAATGAAGCCTCAGCACTGGGTCAGATTAGGATATTTGTGTTGCAGTATGCCTGAGATTAGGGCCCCCAAAAATGCAAGGGGTGATCTATTTATTACTACCAATTTATTACAAGGAATAATTGAACAGATCACCATCCATGTAGTATGGGATTCTAAAACATAATATATGTATACTATATTCAATACAATTGTCTGCTCTAAAAGTTAACTTTGGTAAAGGAAATATGCATTTTTTAATTCTTACATAAAGTATATACTTTTATTTATTTTTTTTAATTAACAAAAGAAAAAAATGTAACTGACACATTTACAATAAAATATGTTATTGTGCTTAAAGATAGGAAAATTTTACCTTTCTTCAAGATTTGTCTCATTTTTATCACAAGTAAAGATTGGTAGCACATAATGCTGTAGGCTGAACATTTTCTGACATTCATTCAATCTTTATTTGATCACTTACTACCAAGGCAAAGCTACCTAACTGTCAGAGATTTCTGTCTCTGTTGCATTATGAATTTAGCTGAATCTTAGGAAAAATCAATCTTAGATTGCAGATATGTGAATGGGTGAAAAATTAATTTTGTTTCAATTCATGAATTTTCTAATTTCAGTGTGTTTCCAACATTCAGAAATTATCAGTTTGGAACAAAATGAAATTTTGAAAAGTTACTGAAGCAAAACAAAATATAGCTTCTGTTATTCTCATTATGTCAAATGATAAATATTAGAGCACTTTTTAGCAGATAGCTCCCAAATTTGGTATCCTTAATAATAGTAATCCCATCTAAGGGTACCAAATTAAGGATCTTTCATCTAAACACAGTTGAAATATTAATTTTGACCTGTCAGCTTTTTAGAGTTGAATCCACTCTAACCCTAAATCCAACCATCTTAAACACCCCTTATATCATAACTGTAACCCATCTCAAGATTTTATTTTTCTTAACACCCTATGTAAATCTAAATATGAAAATAAACTACTTCTATCAATATTGTTGATCTTGCTTGCATTTACACAACTGCACATACTCACTATACTCACAGTTTCAAAAACAATACATTACAAGCCGCAATATAAGGGTACCAAATTAAGGAGCTATCTGCTATACAATGCCATTATGTAATATTGTATATATGACAATCCTACATAAGGGCACCAAATTAGGGAGCTATCTGCTATACAGTGCCATAATTTAATATTGCTAATTATGGCAATCCCGCATAAGAGTAACAAAATCTTGTGTTTACTAGCTAGCTCCCTAATTTAATGTACTTAGAATGGCAGTCCCACAGAAGAGTACCAAATAAGGAAAACAGTTGAAACAAGAAGAAAATAAGGGATTTTATCAATTCTGATCTTTCAGCTGTTTAGAAGCTAGCTCCCCAATTTGCTATCCTGTATATGTCACATACATACCACATAAAAAGTAAAATACATCAGTATATATCATTCTGTTTAGTTTAAAAGACAATGTATTCTAGCAGCATTACTTATAAACTCTTCCATTCCCGGGTACTAACTAAATGACCATCATGCAAAAGTTCTTTATATCCATGTGAAATGAGATGGATGAATGAGTCTCCACAATCTAAGTACAGATGGTATAAACCAGGAGTGCCCAAAGGTAGATCTACAGATGTTGTAAAACTGCAACTCCCATGCTCTTAAGATGCCTTTAGAATGACAAAGCATAATGGAAGCTGTAGTTTGAAAACATTTTGGGATCTACCTATTGGGCACCACTGGTATAATCTGTTTTACCTTAAACGTAAATGTAACAGAGCTCCCTGTACCCCGGCTGGGTACCTCCGCCAAGGACCGCTTCCTAGCTGGAACAGGGGACAAACCGCAAACTTCTGCCCACAGTCGCCGTGGCTTGACTGGGGCCCTGGAACCCCTCCTTCCTGGAGCCGAATGGGGAATTAGCTCTAGTCCTTACAAGGACTTTCCCCCATTGAATCCCCTGGAAGCTGGGACAGCAGACACAAGAGTAAATCTTCTTTCCCTCCAATAACAAGACGACACACAGTTTTGGAGTATAAGCTGGAATCGGATTTTAATGGAGGCACACTGGCCTTTTATGCAAGTTTCTCAACACGGGCGACACCCAGGTGGACCTTGTTGGGCACAGGGACACAAAGTGAACAAACCAATAAAAACAGAGTCATACAGTGAGACATTCCCATACACAAACGATAGAATCCCTCCTGCTTGGGAGATAATTGAATCAGGAACTGTACTAATCTAACCTAATTATCTCCAAGCACAGAAAAAACATACAATTTTATGAAACCCCAAAAAGTATCCTAAAAACATACAAAACCCATAAAGTCACATTACCTGATAGCCCCGATCTGGGTGAACAACATATCCAAAAATCCCCCAGATTGGTATAGGAGTTCAGGAATTTCCTGGAAGTCATAGATTTGGGCCGACCGCAAGCATGGCCCCATGCCCAAAACAGTTCCATGGAAATCAGTGCTAGCAGTCGGTCAAGTTTGGTAGTCTTTTACAGGTTTCCCTGCAGGGCCCATAGTCTCTGGGCAGGAGGCTGGCAAGCAAGAACTCGTGGCAAACTCACTTGAAAAGGGGAGTTTGTCACAGTAACAAACACATATTGCATATCCTTGTTTATGCCACTCAAATGCTCTATTAATTAATATATAAACTAATATGAAACTTTGCCTATACAAGTGAGCAAAAAAATGAATATGTTGTCAATGGTCTGAAGTTCAATTCAATTACAGCATTTCAAATTGAAGAGGATAAGTCTATAAACCCTCAGTAGATTTTCTTTGTAAATATTAACTCAATTCATTGTGTATTTATAGCCAAATTAAGAATAAAGTCAGCATATATCATGGGATTCCTGCTGATCTTCTAATTAGTTTGAGTAAGGAATACTAAAATAAATAACCTGATTCTGGTTTGAAAAGATGGGCAAGTGTTACTACATGATACAAGTAACCACTGTGTAACACGTGTCTGCCTAATTGTTAGTGTTGGTATTTCCAAACACTTAGCCACATACCGATAACATAGAGACAGATTTAATATATCTGGAATTTGAATCTATTACCGCAATGTATTTTTTAAAATTAATTATGGAAACCAGGTGCATAACTTGAAATATTCATGAAGCAATTTTTATTCTATAAAACAATTTATTTAAACTGCTAAATGAACAATACACTAGTTTGATGACTGCCAGAACAAAAACAAGCCAACGTTTGGGATTATTTTGAACATATCTAGGGTATATATAAAGAAGTAATAATTCTGCAATTAATTTTAATTCTCACACCTCACAAATACATATTTGTTAAATACAAGGATATGAAAACATAATATTTAAAATCCTCGGAACTGACAGTTCCCCTTTAAGTAATATACTTTGTAATGTAAAAGTTACTTGATAGTACTACTTGACCAAAGGCTGAACATTTATTGAAAAGAGTGGGTTAATAATAAAACAATTAATTGATTTTGATACTAGTGTGTTCTCTTTTCTCATTTTACAAAAAGTGCACGTTTCAGTAGAAATTGGCATGGTTTTTATGATAGTCTGAAAAGAAATAATTTGCAGCCAGATGGGTGGTTAAAAACCAAATCTACTTCGGGGGAATGTTATATCACCACCCTGAGAGAATGGGCCAAAGTAAAGACGAAGAATTAGCCCACAATCTAGACGATATTATGCAAGGCAAAGATGAGTCTGTTGAAAAATTCTTTACTAGACTCCAGATTACCTGGGAATCACTAGGCTACTCAGATATTTAAATTGCCTCCACCAGAATCCTAATAAACTGCTTTATGGATGGACAATAGGAAATTGACAACCCAGTGTCCCTGCACGCTTTAACTATTCCTGACTTAGCTGGACCCTCTCCTACTGTTAATGTTACATTACCAGGTGATAGAATAGTCCATTTTCTGCTAGACACTGGGGCAATCTATTCTGTGGGGCAGGAGATATACATCTTCCCCTGTGAGAAATCTGATGATATGTTATCATGTGTGGGTGTAGATGGGTCCCCTATAGATATCCCCCTAACACACCAGATAAAGCTGAAGCTTTATGACTCCACTTCTCTTGTAACCAGATTGATTGTTAGCCCTAGTGCTAATTTGCTAGGCAGGGATGTTTTGTCTGCAATTAATACCAACATTCAGTTTAGTCCATCTGGAGAGGTATCTTTGGCCATGCCCCTAGAGGATGACTACCTTATACCCCTTGCTAATGTACTAGCAACCCTCACTTTGCCCAACCCAGTAACAGAGGCTGCCATTGACTTGACCTCATTCCCGGACTCTTTATGCGCAACAGGGAAGAGAGATACAGGCAGACTCTCTGTTCCACCAGTCAAAGTGAATCTACTGACAGAGTATCCACTCAGCCCAGCACAGGAGGATGCCATCTCCCAAGCTGTACAAGAGCACTTGCAAGCAAGAATAATTGTCCCAACTGCTTCAGCTAACTCATGGAGGCACTGCTGAGATGAAATGAGGGGATTGTGAAGGAATGCACCTTGATTCCAAGGCTCAAGCTACAGATGCCATTGTTGGTTCAGTCTGTAATAAAATTGGCTAACTTGGATCATGAAATGGTTTATATTTAAATGAACTTTTTCCTCTATTAGTTCTTCTTCCTCGTAAAAAGTAGCCCTGACCGGAGTACTTCTTGTAGACTGCTTATCTTGTGACATTTAGAAATATGTCTCTTCTTACATTCCTTTCCTCTGACTGTTTAAAAAACAGTAAATATGTTTCTCAAGTAAGCACATATCCCGTACTGTATGAAACGAATTGCCCCCAATTAAAGCTAGAAGCATCTTTTGATATACGAAATCAGATATTATTCCGTCTCGCCCTGTCTTCGACGTCCGCTACTTTGTGTTTGAGGGTGGCATGGTCTTCTTCCAGTCGTTGCAGCCTGTCCGCAAACTCGTTATGGGCCTGCTCAGAGTTCTTCAGCCTTCTGCTCGAGGTGATTGGTCCTACCTCCCAGATTCGCCATTTCTTTACGGAGGTGGTGGACAATTGTTGAAAGTCCAACTGTAGCATTGTCTGGACCTGCATCAGCATCACCTTGAGGCTCTTGTCAGTTACCGGGGAATCCTCAGCCTGGACCGCCAGAGGTTCTGACTCCGATGGGCTGTCTGACGCAGGTGAGTGTGCCGCTGGATAGTCACCATCTTGGATTTGTTTGAGACAGGCTTTCTCGGCACTTTGGCAGACCAGGTCCATGATTTTCAGTTGTTTGGATGGCGCCAAGAGGGTCACTTTGGTGCAATTTCCCTTTTTTGAGAATGCCTGAGTGTTACGGTCGTTTGAGCGATTTTATGGGCTTGGTGTGTCGGGAGCCGTTACTCCATGCGAATGCTCTGCTCGCTGGCAGGACATGCCCCATCCCTTAAGCCTTTTAACACACTCCTCAAGCAAAACAACTTGCAATATCATTGGAGCATGACACACTATCTCATGGTCCTGAAAGGCAAAGACAGACACACCGTACATAAGCTGCAGGGGTTACTGACTCTGATGCCACAGTTGGGACTCCCACTAGATTCTTTACGACTCCTGGAGCCCCAAGGAGCCTAAGTAATGCCACATGGCTGGGACCCAGACCGGGTGACTGCCTTAGTTCCAAGGCAGTCCAGTCATGACTTATATGCCACAACCACCACCTGACGCTGTGACGGAGCCATGCAGTAGTGATGTGTTTCCACTCCTTGCTTTCATATTGCTTTCATAATGTTTTTCATGTTGTTTTGTTTCTGATACCAGATTAGACTAGCTATTACTTTAACTCAGCCCGACCATAATATAACGCAGCTCTCACATTGCCGAACGAATGGTTTATTGACTGTACAACACTACACCCCCCTTTCGTCCGTCTAAACGTATTCTGTCACAAGCCCCCAGTATTGCCCTTGCTAGGCGTGAACATTTTACCATTAGCGCACGTCTACCACTAGTCAACTTTCTTAGTCGGGAAAATCCACTATATAGTGTATAAATGGGTGTACCCCATTTAGATCTCTTTTCATGCTATTTTTTTTCATTACCCAAAAATTTCAAGTCATTATTAGCAACGCATGTTAGTTTTTTTTTGTGTTGATGTATCTGCTGTAATAACGGTATATTATCACTTTTGTATTGTGATCTTAGCCTTATGGTTTGATACAAAAATAAAGAATAAGAAAAATATAAAAATAAAAATATATATATATAAAACTTTTTTTTAAACGTAAGACCACGCATAGCATTATGGAAAGTAAAAAGGTAATATACCATTTAATATATGATATTATTTTAGTCATCTCCCATAATCTTATTTAACTTCAAATTTTACTCTATTTATATACATTGTAATAGCCAACTCTTATTAATGAAAAGCGTTGGTTAAACAAGCATGAAGAAAATTGATTTAGCAGTAAATGTTATGTATTTAAAGGTAAAAGAAAAATATTAGTATTAGAGGATAAAATCTTTATTAACCAATGCTTAGCCTTAAGAGGCAGCACCATTTAATTTTCAGTAAACAGTAAAACTTATAGATAACATTTCTGAACTGACACATGGACATACGAATCATGCAGTGTAAGAATATGCTTGTTTTGCTTTGTAATTCAGAGCGCCATTCCTTAAAAAAAGGAGGATGGATTGAAGAAAAAGGCTTTTTGAAGGGGGCAAATAAGCAGCTTAGTTTGCCATAATGGACAACAGGTCTGACCAATCATGTGGGCTGTATCCCATGTCCATTCAAGAGGTGGAAAAAAGAGATGATTGATGATTAGGTGACAAAAGGAAATGTTTATTTTATTCACATATCAAGTTATCAATATAGGGAAGATCAGGAAATGGCAAGCAAAAAACAGAGCAGAAAGATCCTAGCTAAAGAGGTAGTCAGCAGGGAATGTCCATTTTAGGATAAATACTGCATTTCCAGTTTGTGCATTTGTCCAATGGGTGAATGGTGAAGCACCCACAGAACCAAGTTTGTAGTTCACAGTAGAGTACCAAACCTCTGGGCAAGTATAGACCAGAGATGTGCATGATATCAGTGAAGAAGCTAATTAGCAAGTGTTTTAAGTAGCTGTAGCCAGTAATTCCCTCTCACTACTGTTGAACGTTTGCAGTCAGTAAACAGCTGGTAGTCACAAACAATAGCGACAGGCATTTTATTGGCGAGCCAGTAAAAAGTAGCAATCACATTGGAAACAAGTGCATTGTAGTTTCCCAAGATGACATTTGTTATTTGCTTTATTGAGTAATAATTGGAGATATAAAGCCAGCTTAAAATAGAACGCATTAATAAAAAAGTGATGGTGAATATCCATTTATACATGCATATATATATATATATATATACATATATATATATATATGTTTTATGTCCAACAGTAGAATCAAACTAGCATTTTTAGCAGTCTATACAAATGTAACAACAAAACAAACTTATCCAAAGTTACTTTAGCCTAATCAAAAAAGAAGAATGGGATGTACGTACAAGACACAGACAAATACATCTTCCCAGTATAGACACATTAATTGTGTACCTGTGCACTAACAGGGGAGGTTTTAATTAATGAATGTAACATTTAAGGTACATTCCTCAGTTTTAATTAAAGTGAACACATTAAATCGTAAACCCTGGCATCTGTAGTTAGTACACATAGCCCATGCTCAAGGGCAGGTGGAGGGAAACAAGCTAAACCCTGTGAAAGCTCACAAATACAGCTGCTTAATATAAATATTTCTAACGCTACTGTGCTCATGTGCATTCATGGCAACCCACCCTTTGCCATAAAAACACAGGTTTTTACTCACCTAACATTAACCTCGAGGTGTCACTTTCTCCACTGATGGCTATTCCAAATCGCCTCAAAAATGAGAATTGGGGACCTGAATGCAATGATTTCTTATGAGCAGCTAAGCTTTACTTGGTCAGTGCATCTAGTAGCTATCTCGACATCGTAGTCCTGTGGAAGTTTTATTAGACATTTTGTACAAAACCTCATTTTATATAGACTATGTTCTGAATAAATATTTAAACAATCTATAATTTTTTGGTAAACTTGATTTTAAAATAAACAAAACATAGTTGCTAAAATATATCTAAACAAAATATATATAAACAAAACATAGTTGTTAAAATTTACACTAGAGGTGTGTTTACCCCTGCTATGTACATTGAGATTAAGTGGTCTGGGTGATTTTAGTGGTTCTTTAAAGTACATATTACTGCAGAGTGAACTCTCAGGGTTGTTCTTCTCATACCCATTCACGGCATTGAATCCACAGATGGATTGATCAATGATAGAAATAGGAACCCTAGGATAGCAGGGCATGACGTGGCATGAAGTCTGGTAGGTCATAGCTGAAAATCTTTAAAATTTCTCAATCACTAGCCCATATCACCATCTTCTTTTGTAGAGGGAGTCATAGTCAAGGTAGGTTTGGCTAGGGATGCATAAACAAAGTTATTTGACTCCTAAACAACAGAGACTAGAGCAGTGGACATGGGCTATACACTAAAATATTACTCCAACCGTCATGACCAATTCTGTGTCAGAGCGCTCTGTACATTGTTGATAGATGTGATAATGTTCCCCTTGCAGAGCATCTGCAAGAGGAAGATTGTCATCCCCTCAGACCCTCCCTTATACATCGCACTCCCTTTGTTGCACATTTATTTTTTAAAATGTATTTTAAACCCTCACTGGCCTGAAGTGAGGTTATGCACCCTGAGGCTGCTAAATGGTCCAATCACAGATGTCTTTGTGATGCTGGAGGGGGCACTGGTTTTCAGGCAAGTAAAACTTTTATTTTGCAGGTTATACTGCAAATTGATGGGGGATTCTTTTTTCATAGTGTCCAAAAAAGCATATGAAACCGAAAAGGTTTAGCCCCTCAAAAGGATTAGAGTAACGCTTTAAGATAAAGTTGCTTTGCTGCTTAGAGCATCCCTGTGAATATTTTAAAACAAACTGCATTTATTATTTTAAGCTAGAGATGATCTGATAAATTCAGTGCTTGCACTTGAACTCTTTATAGGCCTAATTTTGAATATTAACAACTACAATGAATAGATTTGAGTTTTGATACAGTGTATTTAGTTTCTTCAATAAACAGTGACAAAGATGAAAAATTTTGTATAGATTTTAGCAACTATGTTTTGATTATTTTAAAATCATGTTTACAAAAAAATTATGTTTTTAAATATTTATTTAGAACATCGTCTATTAAAACTCCCACAGAACTGCGATGTATCATATGTAGGAGAAATTAAATTATAATTTATAGTTTCTGTGGGAAGAATATTTGATGAATTTAAGATATAAAGTCATAAAGTCACATATTTTGTTAGCATAGGCAAAATTAACTTGTAAGTTACAAACTCCTTTGTGCAGGTCATATAAGTCATAACATTCTATCTTTCCATGGAAATAATAATTTAAAAAAACAGTGTTAAAATTTGTTTTAAATACTTTGGAAATTGAACTTAGAGGCACATAAAACACATGAAAATAGAAATGTTGCATTTGTGGCTTTATGTGCAAAGTGCAGGACCTAAGACCTAAGGATCACACATATCAAGGTGTTTAGCCTTTACTGTATTTTCAAACCAACTGCTGATGATGTTTGATACAGTAATAAATAATGTTCTGTATTTAATGATGTTCTGCTCTTTGTACACAAATACTTTACCCACCAAGGGGTTAAAGGCCTTACATCAGAAAGGGCCCGAGCCCAAAGTACATGCTGATCTCCCCACCCAAACTGAGCTGTTGTCATAGTCACGAAAGGCTAAATGAAAGGAGAATGAGAATAAGCCCTAAAACATTAACAATGGAAACTAGAGTAAGTGGGCTGGGTTGTTGTTTACCAGCATTTTAGGGCTGTGGGATAAGGAGAAAGTCTTGGGGTCTCTAGTTGTCAAATCATGAGGAGGCATTCCTATCCTGTTCTTTATATTGCATGCTCATTGCATGTCCATTCATCCTGTTTCCAGGCTGGGGTGATTTTTTAGATCAGGTCAGAGGTTCCCAATTTATAATGATCGGGCTTCTATTGGTCCTCTTATCAATGGACTATTTGGCTTAGGAACCTTTGATTTAATATTATTGTTACCTGCCATCTCTAAATCCAAGGAGAAAAAGAAAGATATAAGTTTGATATTCCAGACCTTTACCCAGTATTGACTATTGATTTCTCTCCACCATACAGCAAACACACATGAG